AGAAACATATAAAGAGCTCGATTTTTCTACAATGGGGGATGAAATTGATGACATTGAATTTGCGCGACATATGCTGAGATTAAAGAGAGATAACAAGAAAGTCGAAGAGAAAAACAGAGGAATGAAACAAGTAAAGAACAATCAAACATGTAGTAATATGTCAATTTTTCCAGAAAGTATTGTATTTCAATTCCTAATAAGGATTCCAGCGCGATACATTTACAAGAATTTCATGCCTGTTTGCAAATCGTGGAAAGAAATGTTCTCACAGAGATCCTTCGCTGAGCTAAATTTTGCGGAATCAAAAACAGAGTTTCTACTGATACAGGCAGCATCATCAGCAAGGCATATGAAAACAAAGCTGTTAGAGATTGGAAAAGATCTTGAATGTGAATCGTGTGATCTTGGAATCAATCGATTAGGTCAGGTTCAATCTAGTTGTGATGGATTTCTACTGATAAACAACCCCGGGGACTATATGGAGCTACAAGTAATAAATCCAACGACAAAGATTTGCATTAATATTCCAAAATGCCCTTCAGGTTGCCATCATAAAGATTATGGTTGTAGTTCCGCAATTGGATTTGACTCAAGGACGAAGAAGTTTAAAGTGGTGCATGTTGTTACAGATTCCTATGGTTTCGAAACATTCAATTTGAATGGTGCTAATGATGAATCACATTGGAAACGAATTCCTGGTCCGTGGGCAGATGCAGATGATGTATCTGAGAGGCCATTTAATCCACTCAATTTTCGTTGGAAGAATCCAGTGTCAATCAATGGGCGTATTCTGCATTGGTATGTTGATTCAAGTGAGTATATCATTTCAATGCAAGTAAACGAGACGAAATTCAGTAGAACTTATTTACCTAAAGAATTGATTCAAAGGGGAAGATATGAATTGGTGGAGTTGGGTGGATTTCTTTCTATTGTCTATTATGATTCCGATACAAGAATGGATGTCTGGAATTTGGAAGGGGAATGTTGGTCTAAGAAACATAGTATCATGGCAAAGTTGATAAACTACATATCTCCAAAGAATGTGAAATCATCGAGTAAAGACAAGACATCAATGCCAGATATTGGGAGACTTGTTCTAGTTGATGGATTATGTCCAAAGAATGTGAAATCATCAAGTAAATACGAGATATCAATGCCAGATTTTGGGAAATTTGTTCCAGTTGCTGGAGTTAGAAATGGTGAAATGTTGATTCTTAAGCATAAGAACTCGAATTTATATGTGTATGACACGAACACGAGGGTGATGAAGAAAGTTAGCATCAACATGAAGAACATAGGAAATTTTATAGCATATAAAGATAGCCTTTTTACTATTTAGTATGAAGTTTTGCTTATAGACTCATGTTTCTGTTTGAGTTGTTATTTTCCACTGTGGAGTACTTGTTATGTATGGAAAACATATTGAATACATTATAGATAGATAGATAGTTCTATGGAACATGATTCCTAAACAAGCATGTTGGATGCTACCGAAAGTATGCAAACAACATATTCAGTGTAAGGTAAATAAGATATAAGGTAGAATGAATGTACGTAGATCTTATTGCTATTTTTGTGAGATTGAGAGATTATGCTCAAACTACCTAAAGTATGCCATTCCCAATAAGAAGATGTATTTTGAAAGTTGCGGCAACTAATGTTGCCACTAAAAGGTATTATTAGTGGCGACTATAATTTGTATTCGCGGCGACTAATGCTGCCACTAAAAGGTACTATTAGAGGTGACTTTTATAAGTAGTCGCGGCGACTAATGTTGCCACTAAAAGGTATTATTAGTGGCGACTATAATATGTATAGTGGCGACTTTTATATGTTTTCGTGGTGACTAATGTTGCCACTAAAAGGTACTATTAGTGGCGACTATAATGTGTATTCGCGGCGACTAATATTGCCACTAAAAGGAACCATTAGTGGCGACTTAAATAAGTATTCGCGGCGACTAATGTTGCCACGAAAAGGTACTATTAGTGGCGACTTTTATAAGTATTCGCGGCGACGAATGTTGCCACTAAAAGGTACTATTAGTGGCGACTATAATTTGTATTCGCGGCGACTATCGTTGCCACTAAAAGGAACTATTAGTGGCGACTTATATAAGTATTCGCGGCGACGAATGTTGCTACAAAAAGGTACTATTAGTGTCGACTTTTATAAGTATTCGCGGCGACGAATGTTGCCACTAAAAGGTACTATTAGTGGCGACTTAAATAAGTATTCGCGGCGACTAATGTTGCCACTAAAAGATACTATTAGTGGCGACTATAATATGTATTAGTGGCGACTAATGTTGCCACTAAAAGGTACTATTAGTGGCGACTATAATGTGTATTCACGGCGACTACTTTTGCCACTAAAAGGTACTATTAGTGGCGACTATAATGTGTATTCACGGCGACTACTTTTGCCACTAAAAGGTACTATTAGTGGCGACTATAATGTGTATTCACGGCGACTACTTTTGCCACTAAAAGGTACTATTAGTGGCGACTTTTTTATGTATTCGCAGCAACTAATGTTGCTACTAAAAGGTATTAGTGGTGGCGACTATAATGTGTATTCGTGGCGACTAATGTTGCCACTAAAAAGTACTATTAGTGGCGATTTTTATAAGTATTTTTGGCGACTAATGTTGCCACTAAACTATAATGTGTATTCGCGGTGATAAATGTTGCTTTTTAAAGGTACTACTAGTGGCAACTTTTAAAAGTATTCGTGGCAATTAATGTTGCCATTAAAACATACTTATATTGGTGACTTTTATAAGTATTCGCGGCAACTAATGTTGCCACTAGGAGGTACTATTAGTGGCAACTAATAATAAAAAAATGTTTAAATTAATTGAGTTACTTTGTAAGTGAAATATTAATTACTAAATCTATGTTTTGGGTATAAAACAAAGGCATAATATATAAACGTAATTTTTAACTTGATCTCAATCATATCTTTGCCCTCTAACTTTGGATGTGTTTAATTACACACTTAAATTTATATAAAATTAAACAAGTAGACACATATATATATAAAAATTACAATGTCGAATTTGGTAAAAATATTTGGTATATTTCATATTTCTTTAATTTAATATCATAAAGATTCAAAAATTCATTACTTTTTACAATTTCTGATAAAAATTCATTACTTTCTTAAATTATGAACAAACAAATTAAAACGGATGAATAGAAAATCTTCTTTACCCCGTCTCAATAAAGCACTATTTTGGACTAAGAAATGGCAAATAAATCCAAATTCGAAATTCGCAGATCGCATTCACCATGTTCTCAGATCAAAGTCTGTATCACTACAGCCTCCTCTCTCTCTTCCTCATCGGACCACCCACCTTCCTCGCCTGTCAATTCCTCACCGCCCCTTATGGGAAACACCGCCGCTCCGGTTGGGGACCCACCATTTCACCACCTTTAGCTTGGTTTCTAATGGAAAGCCCTACTTTATGGCTCACACTTATCCTCTTCCCCTTCGGCAAAAATTACAACAATCCATTATCACTTATCCTCATTTCTCCTTACCTTTTCCACTACACAAATCGGACAATAATTTACCCCTTAAAACTCTACTTCAACTCAAAGGGTGGGTCGCCGGCGAGTGGCTTTCCGGTGAGTATTGCGTTTATGGCTTTTGTGTTTAATCTGTTGAATGCTTATGTACAAGCTAGATGGGTTTCTCACTATGCTGAGTATGATTCTGATGAGTGGTTTTGGGTCCGATTTGCCGGCGGTATGGTGGTTTTTGCCGGTGGGATGGCGGTGAATGTTTGGGCCGATAAGGTGTTAGTGGGCCTGAAGAGTGAAGGAGGTGGATATAAGATACCGAAAGGTGGGCTTTTTGAATATGTGAGCTGTCCAAATTATTTGGGGGAGATAGTGGAGTGGCTGGGCTGGGCTTTGATGACTGGGTCTTGGGCCGGGTTTGGTTTTTTTCTGTATACTTTTGCTAATTTGGTTCCTAGAGCCAGGTTTAATCATGAATGGTATTTGCAGAAATTTGGAGAAGATTATCCTAGGAAAAGAAAAGCTGTTATTCCATTTTTGTATTGAGTTTTGATTTTGATTATGCAATGTAATGGTTTCTATTAATGGTGGTTACTTATTATTTATGGACTATATGTGATTTCCCTTTAATTAGAGTTAGAGTTCTAAATTTTTATTAAGTCTAATTATTTCGGATAACGCTTGCATTCTAAACCCTCGGTATTAGTGCGGCTGCTTACACAAAGTTAGCTTGATGTAGAATCGTCAGGTCGATTTGAGCAAATCTCACTCACTCTGAGTATAGCTATTGTATAGGGGCTTGCTACTTTGAGTATAGGGGCTTGCTACTAGAGCTATGCTACTTTGAGTCTAGCATAGCTAACGCTATCATGACGCTATGTTGTGCCTACACCAACGTGACATGCAACTACACCGAGGTTATATAGTCATATAGAGGCTCAGGACCACCGCCTTTGCTTCAGAATCTTAGGCGCTTCTCTTTTTAGTAAGAGAAGAATCTAGTGCACTCCTATGTTGCTTCGATCATGAGTGATTCTTCTATCCCCGTGACCCGTACTTTGTAGTAAAGGGAAAACCACTTCCTTGAGCTTATTTCCCAGATACTTCATTGCTTCAAGCATGGATGTGATGAATTGAACAATTGGTGATTTTGGCTCTACTTAAAAAAATAAAATTAACAGATGAATAATGGGACAAATTATACTTGTGGGTTTTAGTTTCCCACACATTAAACATAACCAATGTTTAGGAAAAAGACTAATCTCTTCACATTCATTCGATATTAATCGACGTCTAAGTAAACCTTATAAAATTCATACAAGCTTTTGCATTTTGTGTACTACGAAAAGTACACTGAAGTAGATGAACCATAGAAAAACATTGTTATGGGAGTTTAACATGTACATATTAACTCCAGGACAGTATTTTGCCCATAGTCAATGTTTTTCTCCTTTGATATGTTAAAATATTTGGAAAAAAGAAATGTAGTATATCAAAGATAACATTTATGAGAACTCAAGCAGTAGGTATGTTGCAGCATGTTCTAAACCTTCTCTTCAGACACATAATTTATACAGTATTTCGCTGCTAAACAATGTTTCATTAAAGTAACAGTTCACTCTAACTTAAAACTCTTAAAACAAATGTTAATTATTCTAAAGAAACACAAAACAAAACCCAGAAAAATTGTAGCAGAGCCTAGTCTGAGAAAGGAATTGCAAATTGAGTGCACCGCGAAGAAAAAGGCTCCATCGTCTGCGTGCTGGAGTAGTTTCACAGATTTATCATTTGCAAAAGCTAGTAGCTAACCTGCATCATGGTTGAACTGCAAAGATTCTTAAGAGTTATCCAATCATGTAAAAATAGCGAAACAAATCAAGAAATGAGGAGAAATTGTACAAACTCACATCAGGCAAAGCTACGGTTTGCATCTACATTTACTCCTACTCCTGAATTGGCACCACCGTTATCTGCTAGCAAACTTCCATTGGATCCTTCAAGGGATTCAACGGTTTCCACAACCTCTTCCTTCAGCTTCTCGTGTTTCTGCTTTAACTCTGGAAAACTCATAGCCTGTGCAAGACTTTGCTTTATTTGCTGTTCTAAGGCCTGAATTTTTGCCTTTGACTCAGCATCTGCTGTCTTTCCAGCCTTCGCTACCTCCATCTTTAACAATTCAATCTTGTTTTTCAAATCTGTGGAGTTCACGAGGTCTTCCATAACCGTTGTAATTTCATTGTTAAATTCATCAATTCTTCTCTTGGCATCAGGAAGTAATGCTGGGTTGACGTTCAAGCCTAGAGATTCGAAAACACCAGAAAATTCCGTATCCATTTCATCCTTCAGTTGCACAAGTTTCTCCTTTATCCCCTGGTCTAGATCCATAACTCTCGATACACCGGTACTCTTGATTTCAGCCTTCAATGCATCCATCTTCTCCTTCAAATCTGGGCGGTTCATGACTTCTTTTAACCTCTTATTGATCTCCTCCTTCAATTTGTTTACCTTGCTATTTTTCTCTGAGAGTTTCTGGGCTTTAGACATTTCTTGCAACATCTCAAGCTTATTCGTTAGGCTAGCATGATTTGGAGCAGCAGAAATGTTTCTGTTGAATTCGTCCTTAATCTGGTCAAGCTTTTCCTTCAGAACAGGATGCATTGCCTGGTCATTTGAGTTCCTTGTTTTTGCAAATTCTTCTCGTGCCATGACAAGTTTTTCCTCCAAACCTAAAGCTTTAGCAGCCTCAGAAAATTCAAAATCAATTTCTCTTCTTAATTTTTCTATCATCTCATTCAGGCCTGTGTCTGGAATCTTCCCAGTTGATTCCTTTGCTTTCTGGATCTCTTGCTTCAATTTTTCAACCTCATCCAATAACTCCACATCCGGAATTCCAGGTGGAAGAAGAGGTTCTTCTTTCTTTTTCATGTTGACCTTCCTTTTTGGGTCAATGGGAACTCCCTCCTGGAAGCCACCAAGTTTTCGGAACTTAAGCATCCTGTGCCTTAACAACTCTTGGGTGTCCATTTTCGTAAGTTCCTACAAGGATGGATTGTGTTTTTAGCAACTTAGCTGAAGTACAAGTTCAGGAAATAGAGATTTTGATATACTTACATCCATTGATTCTTCAATTGCAATTTTTATCTGCTGTGAAGTCCAATACGGATCAGCATGTGCACCACCAAGAGGCTCCTGCAACACGAGATAAAGCATTATTTACCACAGACAAAAGTGAATCACTCTCTGTCCCAGATGACATATATTTGCCCAAAATTACCAACTGTCAGGGAATGGGATTCCAAGGCACATAATAAGCAATATGGTAATTCAAAAGAAAAAAAAAGGATTATGACTTTCCCAGGAGATTGCAAGGGTTAGAAATTGAAAGCAACTCGCAGATGACTTTTTCTCTTTGACTTTTAAATTTGATAATTAAATGGAAAAATATATAAATAATGAAGAAGAATGAGAATGATCAAATAGGCAGATACAGCAATGAAGTAATATTACAGGGATGGAACCATCGGCAATTTGAAGTCTGGACAGCTCTTGAGCAGTTATCTTGAGTTTCTCAGCTGCCTGAAATGAAATGAAGCATATACTCAGCAATAATTTTCACAGCTTTTCTTGATTAACACTTCTAATGTTTAACTATAGCAACCTTGGGAGAAGCTTTTGCGGTCTTCCATAAAATTGCTGCACATGCTTCTGGGCTGTGAATTACAAGTGAGATTTGAAATCGGTAAGCATACATTACTATTTACTATGACAGTCAAGAACTGTATACAGAAAAGTGGATCTGACCAGGTAAATCAAAAATAACAAATTTAAAGTACCAAAACAATCTGATTTAAGAATCAAGGGTGGATTACAACAAGCTAAGTTGCGCGAACTCTTCACTTTCGATGCCGCACCCGTGTCGGATTCTCCAAAAATACACTACTTTTAGCGAATTCTACACGCACCCCTTGACATTTTTGAAGAGTCTGAGCAACATAGACAACAAGATATTCACCAACTATATTGCCTTTTTAATAGTCATATTGCCAGAAAGAAGATTGCCCTCCCAGGTTAGTTTTTCCACGGAGCTTATTGATTTTGAAATAGGGTTGTGTCGTCCACCAAAATTAAGAACATGAGGAATACAGATTCAATGGTTCAGCATTACCAGAAACCAACAGAGATTATGTTTTTTAAGTATTGGTTATCTGGTGTTTTATAGATACTAGTTTCACAACGATGGTGTCTAAGCCAACTTTTGCACACCTCGACTATTCCTCTGGGTACCTGCTACTTCCCACCTACCTCACACCAACTTGGGCAGCTGAGAAGCCGAAACTATAAAACTGATAGGATAGTTTCTTGAGAGTTTATGATTATAAAGGACAGGATGATGGCCATTCACCACGTATTTAGTCTACAAGCAGTATACACATCATATAACACTAATTTGTTCATAGTAAAAATCAACAGTTTTAGAGGCACCTGGCAACATAGAAGACGGCATTTTCAAGCATCAACAATTTATTAGCACAACCAATAGCCAGAGCTCCACCAGAACCCCCTTCTCCCATAACAATAGAAATAATTGGTACTTTCAAACCAAACATAGTCCTCAAGTTATGAGCTATGGCTTCTCCCTGCATGCAAGCAATATAAACTATTCAGTTAGCACTAATCGATGAGGAAAAAGCACGCTACAGCACAGTTGTGTACATACTTGGCCTAGTTCCTCTGATTTGAGATCAGCATATGCCCCTGGTGTGTCAATGAAAGTGATGATCGGGAATCCGTGATGATCAGCATAGTACATCATCCGCAGAGCCTTCCTATAACTGTTTAACAAGTATTTTTTTCTTACTATTGTAGGCTCACATACTTAAAAGGGGTGGATCTAACTCCATACAAAAATATTCCAAGCTTAAACATAATGGAACCACACATACCCATGGGGAGTAGGCATCCCAAAGTTACGTTGTATGTTCTCCTTTGTGTTTCGTCCTTTTTGATGACCCATGAACATATAGCTTCTACCATTTATTGTGCCAATTCCAGTGACAATGGCAGGATCGTCATACCCCGCTCTGTCACCATGAAGCTCCACAAACTGCAAGTTTGGGAATTACGATTTTAAATTGTTAGAAATTTCCAACAGTATATTACCTATGGAAAGGAGAACAGACAGAGAGTGCAGTTTTTAAGTTTATTGGTAAGAAATAAAGACAATGAATTTACTTGACCTTCTCAGTAATATTAAAGATATGATCAAGGAAAGTTGGCCTGTTAGGATGCCTTGCAATATTCACTCTTTGTATAGGAGTCAGATGTGTGTATAGATCTTTTAGAGCCTGAAAAGGACAGTAAAATGTCATCATTATCAGCAACATTAATATTGTTAGCTAAGAAAATTTGACCTTCGAGATTACTGCTATAAAACGGTCTCAAATTCATAGCTTTGTACAAAGATCAAAAAGAACAAAAAGGCAAGAGCCCCAAACAGGAATATTTTCTACCCTTTATCCCACCTTCCAACACAAAATCAAACAGTAGGCAGTTTTATCACAAAAACTTGAAATTAAAATTCTTTATTAGAGATCGGAATCTTATTATTTCCCCGTGACCTTCCCAAATTGCTCTTGTTTTCTTCTTAAGCCCCCCTAGCATGCGTTAGAGAAATATGCATCCTTTACAAAGCATTATATTATGATGATACACTTGGAAAGGAATTCATTAAAGGATCAACATTAGTTTCTCCACAAATGGTAATATGTACATGGATTAAGACACTTTTCTGAGCAGTAATGCAACAAAAATTTCTCATTTAAAAAAAAGGAGCAAGGGGCTGTCCAAATGTTGCTATTTCTTTTTCTATGATAATGATTTATTAAAATACTTTTATTCATGTGTAATATTTTTCACAAAATAGCACAGTTCTGCCCAAATTTTCTTAATGTGAGAATGAGATTACTAATACTTTCTTGTGGTATCAATACTGAAATTCAAAAGAATCTGAAAAAGAAGTCCAACAAGAAGATTGCAGAAACCCCTAGAACACACTTAACACTAGTAATATTTTCTTAATTAAAGAAGTACACTAAGCAACCAAAAACCAATTATTTGTTCTTTAATAAGTGGAAGGTCATTTTAGTCATCCAAACCTGTTGGTATTTGTTCTCAAGTGAGATAATTTGATCACTGAAATCCAACCCAGTTTCATTTGCCATCTTTTGAACCTGCATTCGAAAACAGTAACAATTGACAAAATGCTCATTTTTCTATTTTGATATACGAAATAATCTCAAGACAAGAATCATGGCATTAGGTCACAAAACCTACATCAATGATTTTTTTCTGCAGATCCATAAGAGGTTTCTCAAAATCCAATGTCACCGGCTTTTGTCTTTCTTTCAATGGCTTGAAAGGTGATAAGTGACTGAGGACTCCACCCTTGACATTAAGGTCAGGATCCTCTGGCCAGGGGTACTCATGCTTCTTTACCTTTCTAACCTTTGCAGAGATTGTAAAATCTCTCTTCTTAGAACCCAATCGTGCTCTCCCTAAGGCTTTCAATGGCACACCACAAACACCATTTCTTGAGCTACGAAGAAGGTCTGAAGCTGAAGTTTTAGAAGCCAAACTTCCACTGAATGCCACGGGAGGATGTGAAGTTGAAGCCATTCTCCAGTTACTGCAAATAGGTTAACCTAATCAATCTCATTTAAAGAGGGGAAAATTCACAGATTTTTAAATCCATCAATGACATGGTGAAATCAACTAGCTTCAAATCAATGTCCACATTTCAATTAGATACTATTAAGCATACACGAAACTAGCAAACAAAAGCTTCATTTAACATAGTTAGACCTATCACCTAGCTATGAAGAGAAGCATATTCAGAGGCTATGATGCTTGGATTCTCCAAAAATGCACTAATTTTGAAGGATCTGAGACACACCCATCGATATTTTTGAAGAGTCCGAGCACATAGTCTAGAGACTAATCAAAGATTTAATTTTTATGCACCCTTCAACAGTAAACTCTATACAGTTATTAAATCAATCACAAATAGTTACCCCATAGAAGCTAAGAGATTGCAGGAAAAAAAAAAACTAATTATTAACATACACAAATAAACACCAAATTAACAGATACATCAAGGATTAGCATTTTCAAGGTAACTAGTACAGTTCCATAACAGAAAGTTCACTAACATCAACACAAGAATCAACCAATCAACCAGTCAACCGATCAATCAACTATACCTCAATCTAAAACTAGTCGAGGATCCACTTTATGAATCCTCTATATTCATCCTGCTCTATTCAAACACATCTCATCCAATACTGTCATAATAACAACATGACATTCATTGAATATAAGAAATCGCCATAATTTCACCTTTTTCACACCAGAGCACCAGCTACGCTAAGCTCACCTGAGTGATAAAAGAAATTAGGGAAATTCCAATGCATGAACCTTCCGAAGTAGACGCACCAAGCTAACAAGATTAGTGAATTAATTAAATAAAATCGCAGCTAAAATCAATCAACTATACCTCAATCTAAAACTAATCAAGGATCCACTTCACAAATCATCTACCTCCATCCTTACTCCATTCACACGCATTCCATCCAATACTATTAATATCCATTAACACAACGATTCATCACAATTAGTCTAATTTTACACTGAAACCGACTATACTAACCTCACATAGATTCACAAACATTAACAAACCAAAAAATAACAAGTAATTCCATGAACATTACGAAATAAAACACAACGCTAACAATATTAGTAAATTAATTAAACGAAATCACAGGTTTAGAGCTGAAAATCAATCAAACTAAACCAAAAATTAACGATCAAATCCGAGAAAAAAAAACAACAAACCGAGAATGAGAGCTCCAGATTCAAGCAGAAGAGATCTGAGGAATCGATGAGAAGAGAAGATTTAGTAGTATTTTTTAAGGAGAAAAGAGCATCGAGAAGATCGAAAAGAGGCCTTGGGTTTATTCAACAAAAAAATGAGAATAGATAAAAGCTATGTAGAAGAAGCTGTTTATTATGAGTGTTTTGATTTTGAGCTTTCGATACTTCTTATGCGGGAGGACTAAAAATGAGAAAAAAGAAAAAGGGAAAGGGTAAAATGGGTAGAGTGGAGAATAAATAAATAAAAACCTACCAGTGTGCTTGTATGACAGCTTTTCTCAGTTTGGCCGTTATATGTGTTGAACTCAAAGGCTTCTCTGTTGTGTCATAAAGGTTTGTATTTTTGTGCACTTGTATAATATCCAAAAAAAAATCATTCAAAAAAATAAAATATTGGTTACTGAGGACATGACTATAGATAAGTATGGATCGTTTGGTTGAGAGTAAGTTATGTGAAGATTAGTTATCCTGGGATAACTTATCACACCATGTATATGGGATAACTTATTTCATCACTATGGTATAAATGGTGTCATAAGTTATCCCAAACATGGCTACCAAACAAGATATTTCATCACTATTTTGTTATCCCATGACTATTTATTTTTATCACTCACATCAAACGACCCCTTAAAGTATAAAGATTGGGAATTAGGATAGAAAGGTTAGAAGTAGATAGTCGAGTATTATTGCATCTTATGTGGGAGAGGGATAGCCTCCTCACTCAGCTTCTCAGTATTAATAGTCGTGTATTCTCTTATATTCTTTGATGTATATAATTATTATATGTTGTTGTCTTGCTTCATCTCTTGCAGTCATGTTTTTCTTGCAAACCTGCTTCAAAAAAAAATTATTTTGAGTTGAGGGTCTATTGGTATCAATCTATCTTCCCGAAAGGTAGGGATAGATTTGCATACATCACACTTCCTCATATCCTACTTGTGAAATCATAATGAGTATGTGTTGTTGTTTGTTGCTTTTGAGAAACCGATACAAATTGTGACCCCCGATCTCGCAGATATTTCAATTCCAGCGAATGATGACGCCATACATCAATCTAATTAATTCTTAATAAATTAGTATTCGCAATTTGGACCTCTCAGTAGGATTCGAACCCAGATGAAGTTCTGACCATCTATTAGAGAAAAAAGAACGAACGAATCTTCAAGAAACTGCTCGAGTTTTAGCAAAAGTGGCTCTCCGGGATCATATCGATAATTTTGTCAGCAGCCAATTGTTCTCGAATGGAACCATTCAAAGATGTAGAACATAGATGGTTAAAGTTTCTTAGATAAAGTATCTAAAAGAATTGGATTCTATCTCCTCTTTTTTTCTCCTCTTGTTCACCAACAAATAACTATGAAAGTTCAGGTGATTAACCAAGTAAGCTACTAAGATTCTCAACAAGAAACCAACTTATTTTCTTAAAAAACATTTTTCCTCCTACCAAACACACTCAGAATTAATATGTTTAGTCAACAAGTGAGAACTATAATTACACTAATTAAGTACTCTCTTTGTCCCAATTTATGCAACACATTTTGTTTTTTTGAGTCAAACAATTTAAGTTTGACCGAGAATTCGCGCATTAAATCTTCAAATTTGTTTAAATGAAATTTATATATTTGTAAACTACGTAAAAAGTATTATAAGTCACAATAATGGACAATCCAAAATGTTTAGAAGATATATGAAAAATTTACGATCAAAGATATACTTGTTTAATATCAAAATCTGAAATGTCTCACATAAATTGAGACCGAAAGAGGAGTAATTACTTCATGATGGCAGTAAAGTGCAAACAATATAGTAAGTTATATATTCTCTTAAACGTTTTAATCATATATTCATGTCATGATAAAGGCATCAAATTCATATACACGTTCTAACAACAAATTATATTTATCCCTAATTTTTCTCCTATTTGAATTGAACTGATTGATTTTTTAATACTTTATTCCCTCGAGATAATTAAAGCTTAAAATATTGAGAATCACATGTATTTGATCAATTTAGATATGTGCAACCTTTTGAATAACAATTTAAACAAGCTTGCATATTGATATAATCATGCAACAATCTTTTAAACAAATTAATTAAGAAGTACTTTAACCATTAATGCGAACATTTTGTCAAGTAATTTTTACCATCGATGGTTTATCATAATTGAGACAATTGTCATATATATTTTTTTTTGTTGTTGCAATTTGTTTAAATAAACTCTTGAGTTATAGGGACGATGAATTTTTTTCTTTTTCTAACTTTTACACCCTACTTAATTAATGTTCTATTGCAAAGACTTATGACATGTAATATGAAAGTGGAAGTAATAAAATAGCAACAAATTATAAAATTAATTCGAAAATGATCAAATGAAGGCCGTAACTTACCTTTAATGACAATTTAAATTTGCTACTAGTCAAATATGTTTGTTAAGTTTAGGTCCCTGTTAGGTAGGTTTTATTGTTTCTTTATTTATATATACTGTTTGAAAGGCATACAAAATTTTATGAAATAAAGAAGCATGAACTTATAGATATCTCCGGCATGAAGCCATAAAAAATATATATATTTTTAGAAAATGAGTAAATTATTTATTTATTTTTAGTAATCAAAAAGTAAGCAGGAAAATTTATACATAATTTAACAAAATACTATAAAGGTGGAAAGTGCGATGTGAGAGTAGGTTGGACTCGGGAGGGTGGGATAGTCAAAAAATGAGGGTCGAAGATATTGAGTGGATTAACCAACCAAATATTTTAAAAAATTAAAAATTCAATACTCTTATGAGTCTCAACACACCCATAATCTTTTAATTGAAGTTATCATTTCTGATCATTAATATTTGATATTACACATTATTTTTTTTCTGAAATATTTGACATTTTAAAAATAAAATTATCAATTACTTTTCTCCAAATTTACCCTGCTCCAATAATGAAGTGGTAATTGACGGAGACATTAAGAGAGGAATAAAAAATATAATTTAGACAAATATTTTATGATTAAAGCAATTAAATATCTTTTTAATGAATGACGGAGACATGTTTTCTTTCAAGGGGCTCAAATATACCATCAAACTTTGAGAAAATATTCATTTATGTCATATGTTAAAAGTTTGTTCATTTATGTCATTTTCGTTTGAGAAAAGACTCATTCATGTCATTATTTGTTAACTAAAAGGGCATAGATGAGTAAAACTTTTAACGGATAGCATTAATGAGTCTTTTCTCAAACGACAAATTAAGAGAGGAATAAAAAAAAATTAGACAAATATTTTATGATTAAAGCAATTAAATATCTTTTTAATGAATGACATGTTTGTTTTTGGGGAGGTCTCAAATATAACATCGAACTAGAGAAAATGTTCATCTATGTTTCGTTTGAGAAAAGGCTTATTCATGTCATTATTTGTTATAACATAAATGACATAGACGAGCCTAATTTTCAATTTATGATATAAATAAGTCTTTTCTCAGAGTTCGATGATATATTTAATTTTTTTTCATTTCAAAAATTAATTTAATTAATGACGTGGCTGAATCATAATTGATCACGAGTACAAAATGATTTTGCAAAATTGAAAATATTTTTATATTATAAATAATGACATGAATGAGCCTTTTCTCATACGGAAATGACATGAAATACCCATTTTTTTTACGGATGACATAAATAAACTCTTTTTCAAAGTTTTGATTACATATTTGAGGTTTTTTTTTAAAAAAAAAAAGCACCTTTTTAGATTAAACAAATAAAGTGATTTTATAAAATTATTTTTCTTTTCCTTTTTTTTTTTTACAAAAATAATAATTACAGAGATAGGATAAATCATTAGCCTTGAAGTTACACGGCCGTTTTTGGAGTAAGCACTGAACTGCTTTCATGGCGGCCATGCTCTCTAATGGTACTGAGCTGCTACACTTACAGTATTAACCCTAAATTGAACCGTTGATTTGAATTTGAGGTGTAATTTGATTGATTGATAATGATTTTTTTTTAACTTTTTTGGTATAGAAATGGTGCTTGATGAGCTGAGACATGGATTCGCCCAGTTTGAGCTGGTTACTTCTCCAGTTGCTTCAGTTTCTGCTTCCAGTAATAGACCTTATCAAAGAGGAAAACCATTTGCCGTTTTTGCTGGCGCCACCGGTCATCAGTTTTTTGCCAGAATAGGACCTTCACTGTAAATTCCTCCTCCTTTTATTTTTGTTATTTAATAGCTTGAATTCTGTTGGTATTTTTTTTGTTTGTTATTGCTTAGAAAGCTTAATCTTTTAACTGCACTTGTGTGACTAAGTGTTCAGTGAAGTGAGTTGAGAATCGTGAGGTTGCTTAAATTTCTTCATTGTTGCGTTTGCTTGTGAATTTGAGGTCCCAAAGTTAAATCTGATTATGTAGAGTAAACTTTTTCATGCTGTATATAATTGGTTGTGGCCTATACCTTGTGACATAAATGGCTTCAACCTATGTTACATGGACTGTCATACCAATACACTTATTATATATGTGTCTGTATGAGTATCTGCAGTTTTTGCTAATTTTTAGTGTATCTTGAAGAATCCCCATCAAGTATCCGCACTCACATCACACCTGTTGGGCACAGGTACTCAGAGCAAATGAAAGATCTATATATCTTAACCTTTAACAATAAACAGTTGAAGGGCTTGAGGATTACCTAAATTCAGTGCCAATTAAATTCTAAATTTGTTAGAATTTAGTGCTTAGTTTGATCTCACAATTGTGTGCGTTACTTCTCTAATTTTTTATTGTAGAGGTGGAGCTTCGCCAGCCTTGAAGAAAGTAGAACGTTATTCAGTGCAGAAAATAACAGGTGATGGGCGCTGCATGTTTCGTGCTCTGGTATGAAGCATTTTCCTCCCTGTCTAATTTGATGTACTGTTGACTGCATAACTTTATTGCTATAAGTTTATGGTCTTAGAGAGAACACTTTACTTTATTGATTGAAAGGGAGAGGAATGCAAATTCGAGGAAAGATGCAACACTAACAAGAGCAAATATAAAACTAACTGAAGCAGACTAACAACACATGTTACTGACAGTACCTTCTTACTCTGCAGAAGGTCTTTGTGTGCCACACCTTAAAGGACCATTTTTTCGTAGACCATAAAGAAGCAAACTAACCATCTTTTTCCTGGT